GCAAATGAACTGAAATTTTCAGGGATTGTAGTCCTCTACTGGAATAGGAATCGCTCAAAATTTCAGCTTTCTATCTATAATAGAAAAAAAGTTATGACCTGTCAAAGTTTTCCAAAATCTAAATCATAAGGTACCTACCTTCTTACTAAAACGATGAAATTTCAAAATTTTTTTTGTCGAGATTTTGTGTCCTAATAGTTAATCAACATACCCCAAACTCCATACACTAAATTATTCTCAGATTTGAAGCCGATATCTATGAAAAAAGGCACTCAGAAAACTTGAAAAATTGATAAATCACCCCAAATTGCTTAACACAATTTTATCTCAGGAACTATAAGTGCAAATGAACTGAAATTTTCAGGGATTGTAGTCCTCTACTGGAATAGGAATCGCTGAAAATTTCAGCTTTCTATCTATAATAGAAAAAAAGTTATCACCTGTCAAAGTTTTCCAAAATCTAAATCATAAGGTACCTACCTTCCTACTAAAACGATGAAATTTCAAAATTTTTTTTGTCGAGATTTTGTGTCCTAATAGTTAATCAACATACCCCAAACTCCATACACTAAATTATTCTCAGATTTGAAGCCGATATCTATGAAAAAAGGCACTCAGAAAACTTGAAAAATTGATAAATCACTCCAAATTGCTTAACACAATTTTATCTCAGGAACTATAAGTGCAAATGAACTGAAATTTTCAGGGATTGTAGTCCTCTACTGGAATAAGAATCGCTGAAAATTTCAGCTTTCTATCTATAATAGAAAAAAAGTTATCACCTGTCAAAGTTTTCCAAAATCTAAATCATAAGGTACCTACCTTCCTACTAAAACGATGAAATTTCAAAATTTTTTTTGTCGAGATTTTGTGTCCTAATAGTTAATCAACATACCCCAAACTCCATACACTAAATTATTCTCAGATTTGAAGCCGATATCTATGAAAAAAGGCACTCAGAAAACTTGAAAAATTGATAAATCACCCCAAATTGCTTAACACAATTTTATCTCAGGAACTATAAGTGCAAATGAACTGAAATTTTCAGGGATTGTAGTCCTCTACTGGAATAGGAATCGCTCAAAATTTCAGCTTTCTATCTATAATAGAAAAAAAGTTATGACCTGTCAAAGTTTTCCAAAATCTAAATCATAAGGTACCTACCTTCTTACTAAAACGATGAAATTTCAAAATTTTTTTTGTCGAGATTTTGTGTCCTAATAGTTAATCAACATACCCCAAACTCCATACACTAAATTATTCTCAGATTTGAAGCCGATATCTATGAAAAAAGGCACTCAGAAAACTTGAAAAATTGATAAATCACCCCAAATTGCTTAACACAATTTTATCTCAGGAACTATAAGTGCAAATGAACTGAAATTTTCAGGGATTGTAGTCTTCTACTGGAATAGGAATCGCTGAAAATTTCAGCTTTCTATCTATAATAGAAAAAAAGTTATCACCTGTCAAAGTTTTCCAAAATCTAAATCATAAGGTACCTACCTTCCTACTAAAACGATGAAATTTCAAAATTTTTTTTGTCGAGATTTTGTGTCCTAATAGTTAATCAACATACCCCAAACTCCATACACTAAATTATTCTCAGATTTGAAGCCGATATCTATGAAAAAAGGCACTCAGAAAACTTGAAAAATTGATAAATCACCCCAAATTGCTTAACACAATTTTATCTCAGGAACTATAAGTGCAAATGAACTGAAATTTTCAGGGATTGTAGTCCTCTACTGGAATAGGAATCGCTGAAAATTTCAGCTTTCTATCTATAATAGAAAAAAAGTTATCACCTGTCAAAGTTTTCCAAAATCTAAATCATAAGGTACCTACCTTCCTACTAAAACGATGAAATTTCAAAATTTTTTTTGTCGAGATTTTGTGTCCTAATAGTTAATCAACATACCCCAAACTCCATACACTAAATTATTCTCAGATTTGAAGCCGATATCTATGAAAAAAGGCACTCAGAAAACTTGAAAAATTGATAAATCACTCCAAATTGCTTAACACAATTTTATCTCAGGAACTATAAGTGCAAATGAACTGAAATTTTCAGGGATTGTAGTCCTCTACTGGAATAAGAATCGCTGAAAATTTCAGCTTTCTATCTATAATAGAAAAAAAGTTATCACCTGTCAAAGTTTTCCAAAATCTAAATCATAAGGTACCTACCTTCCTACTAAAACGATGAAATTTCAAAATTTTTTTTGTCGAGATTTTGTGTCCTAATAGTTAATCAACATACCCCAAACTCCATACACTAAATTATTCTCAGATTTGAAGCCGATATCTATGAAAAAAGGCACTCAGAAAACTTGAAAAATTGATAAATCACCCCAAATTGCTTAACACAATTTTATCTCAGGAACTATAAGTGCAAATGAACTGAAATTTTCAGGGATTGTAGTCCTCTACTGGAATAGGAATCGCTGAAAATTTCAGCTTTCTATCTATAATAGAAAAAAAGTTATCACCTGTCAAAGTTTTCCAAAATCTAAATCATAAGGTACCTACCTTCCTACTAAAACGATGAAATTTCAAAATTTTTTTTGTCGAGATTTTGTGTCCTAATAGTTAATCAACATACCCCAAACTCCATACACTAAATTATTCTCAGATTTGAAGCCGATATCTATGAAAAAAGGCACTCAGAAAACTTGAAAAATTGATAAATCACCCCAAATTGCTTAACACAATTTTATCTCAGGAACTATAAGTGCAAATGAACTGAAATTTTCAGGGATTGTAGTCCTCTACTGGAATAGGAATCGCTGAAAATTTCAGCTTTCTATCTATAATAGAAAAAAAGTTATCACCTGTCAAAGTTTTCCAAAATCTAAATCATAAGGTACCTACCTTCCTACTAAAACGATGAAATTTCAAAATTTTTTTTGTCGAGATTTTGTGTCCTAATAATTAATCAACATACCCCAAACTCCATACACTAAATTATTCTCAGATTTGAAGCCGATATCTATGAAAAAAGGCACTCAGAAAACTTGAAAAATTGATAAATCACCCCAAATTGCTTAACACAATTTTATCTCAGGAACTATAAGTGCAAATGAACTGAAATTTTCAGGGATTGTAGTCCTCTACTGGAATAGGAATCGCTCAAAATTTCAGCTTTCTATCTATAATAGAAAAAAAGTTATGACCTGTCAAAGTTTTCCAAAATCTAAATCATAAGGTACCTACCTTCTTACTAAAACGATGAAATTTCAAAATTTTTTTTGTCGAGATTTTGTGTCCTAATAGTTAATCAACATACCCCAAACTCCATACACTAAATTATTCTCAGATTTGAAGCCGATATCTATGAAAAAAGGCACTCAGAAAACTTGAAAAATTGATAAATCACCCCAAATTGCTTAACACAATTTTATCTCAGGAACTATAAGTGCAAATGAACTGAAATTTTCAGGGATTGTAGTCCTCTACTGGAATAGGAATCGCTGAAAATTTCAGCTTTCTATCTATAATAGAAAAAAAGTTATCACCTGTCAAAGTTTTCCAAAATCTAAATCATAAGGTACCTACCTTCCTACTAAAACGATGAAATTTCAAAATTTTTTTTGTCGAGATTTTGTGTCCTAATAGTTAATCAACATACCCCAAACTCCATACACTAAATTATTCTCAGATTTGAAGCCGATATCTATGAAAAAAGGCACTCAGAAAACTTGAAAAATTGATAAATCACCCCAAATTGCTTAACACAATTTTATCTCAGGAACTATAAGTGCAAATGAACTGAAATTTTCAGGGATTGTAGTCCTCTACTGGAATAGGAATCGCTGAAAATTTCAGCTTTCTATCTATAATAGAAAAAAAGTTATCACCTGTCAAAGTTTTCCAAAATCTAAATCATAAGGTACCTACCTTCCTACTAAAACGATGAAATTTCAAAATTTTTTTTGTCGAGATTTTGTGTCCTAATAGTTAATCAACATACCCCAAACTCCATACACTAAATTATTCTCAGATTTGAAGCCGATATCTATGAAAAAAGGCACTCAGAAAACTTGAAAAATTGATAAATCACCCCAAATTGCTTAACACAATTTTATCTCAGGAACTATAAGTGCAAATGAACTGAAATTTTCAGGGATTGTAGTCCTCTACTGGAATAGGAATCGCTCAAAATTTCAGCTTTCTATCTATAATAGAAAAAAAGTTATGACCTGTCAAAGTTTTCCAAAATCTAAATCATAAGGTACCTACCTTCTTACTAAAACGATGAAATTTCAAAATTTTTTTTGTCGAGATTTTGTGTCCTAATAGTTAATCAACATACCCCAAACTCCATACACTAAATTATTCTCAGATTTGAAGCCGATATCTATGAAAAAAGGCACTCAGAAAACTTGAAAAATTGATAAATCACCCCAAATTGCTTAACACAATTTTATCTCAGGAACTATAAGTGCAAATGAACTGAAATTTTCAGGGATTGTAGTCTTCTACTGGAATAGGAATCGCTGAAAATTTCAGCTTTCTATCTATAATAGAAAAAAAGTTATCACCTGTCAAAGTTTTCCAAAATCTAAATCATAAGGTACCTACCTTCCTACTAAAACGATGAAATTTCAAAATTTTTTTTGTCGAGATTTTGTGTCCTAATAGTTAATCAACATACCCCAAACTCCATACACTAAATTATTCTCAGATTTGAAGCCGATATCTATGAAAAAAGGCACTCAGAAAACTTGAAAAATTGATAAATCACCCCAAATTGCTTAACACAATTTTATCTCAGGAACTATAAGTGCAAATGAGCTGAAATTTTCAGGGATTGTAATCCTCTACTGGAATAGGAATCGCTGAAAATTTCAGCTTTCTATCTATAATAGAAAAAAAGTTATGACCTTCTAAAGTTTTCCAAAATCTGAAATTTTCAGCGATTCTTATTAGAATTATTTTCTTTTTTTTGTGTGTGGTTCGATGTCATTTGATACTCAAGCCTCAAACAAAATCCTTACCGTATCCAAATGGCAAATAATTGTCCTCATCTACTGTAATCTTCCCATTTTCATCCAGAAACCTTTCGGGCCTAAAATCTTGAGGATTCTTCCAAATCCCCCTGTCCATATGCACACTATACAAATTAGTCAAAATCGTAGTATCCTCTGGTATATCGTACCCCATTAGTTTGGTACGTTTTACAGCCCTATGGGCAATACCCATTGGAGCCAAATTGGATCTTCGTTGTAGTTCCAAAAGAACTGCTTGAGTATATTTCAAGCTAAAAGTTTCCATTAATTCAAATTTCAAACTGACAAATATTGCCTCACTTTGCTCTATCTCTCAAATTTGGCCATCTATCTCTACCAATAACTTCATCCAACTCCTTTTGGACTTTGCTTTGTATATCAGGATACAAAACCATGTATAGCATTGAAAATCCTAAACTATTACTAGTTGTTTCTGCTCCAGCCATGAATAAATCGAGACATAATGAGACAAGTTGATCATCTACAAGACTATTTTGTAAGTTTGGCAACAATTCTTTTAATCAATTACCTGTAAATGATTCGTCAATATTAATAGACATTGAATGAAGAAAAGCATCAATTAAATCCCTTGGTTGTGAGGGTGTAAGTGTCCGTCTATGTTCATCAATGGTTTCTTGTAAAAAGGTCCACATTCTAGTGAGAACATCTAATATTTGATTATAACCACTAGCAGAGGGGGCAATGTAACGTAAAAACGGTAGTTGATTGATCAAACCTCCAGACATATCAACAATTCTGAAGCAATCGTGAATAATTTGCAACAGTTTCTTCAATCTTGCGTCTTCAACTTCAAATCTTTGACCTGCAATAATAATTATTATCAATAATGTAATACATATTGAATTTTGAATATTCACCTGCAAGCATTGCCCATAAAGCATTAAGTACAGCAACATCAAAAGCATTATGCATAAAAATTTCATCATTACATTTCTGGCTTAAATTCTCAACCAAAGCCCGACATTCTTCGGTGACTTTTTCTTCCATTTCTTTGCGTCCAAATCCAAAATTTCTCAAATGTTGCAAAGAGAATTTGCGTTGTTTTTTCCATAATTGACCATCACTGAAGATTATACCCAGTCTTTTACCAAAAGTCCTCAATCTAAAGAAAAACCCATCAGGCCTACCATCGAAATCTTCTCTGGATAAAACTTCTTTAACAGCTTCCGGACCAGCCACTGATACAATCAAATTTCTTCCCAATTTCAAACCTACAACCGGTCCGTAGTTTTTGGCCAATTCCAGCCAAACTTCGTGATGGTATCCCAAAACTTTATGTCTATTTTTGTAGTAGATTAGATTACCTACAATGGGTGCAAATGCTGGACCTAAAAATTATTTTGAATGAAAATCAATGGGTGCAAATGCTACCTTAAAAAGACCATGAAAATTACCTGGCGGATAATTTCTAGGCCTGAAACAGGTAAATAAGAACCAAACTAAAAAGGCCGCCACTAGAATGCAAGCCAGTAGGGCCATGATCGAACATCAACTGTGCAAGGTACCATTTTCAGTGGTATTTAAACCATTTTTAATCTCAGTGGCGTGTCGTGATTTTTCAAAAATATTCCAATTCGATTTTAATTAATTATGTAGATGTCAACGTTCTTTTAATTATATTTTAATTAAAATACGTGATCAACAATCTGACCATTAGTTTATTGCAGACAAAATTCTTGTACCGGCTATGATTGTCTTTGAACCTCAGGTTAACCCCAACAAAGATGTCCCTGGAGATATTTTGTATTCACTATAGGGAATTTGCATTTATTTTCTTGGTCAATGGGTTATATTTTTGAAGCGGTTTCAATGTTGAATGAAGTGAAAAAATCAACTTTTCAAGACGTTTTGGCATGATTTAAACTTCAGAATTACATTTTTTTTTTTCAATGAATATGACAAAAATATGAAGCTCAATAGACCTTTAGATCGTCTATAATAATCAAAATAAGTTTTAGTGTAAATTTTAACTTTGAAGCTTCATAACTTTGGAACGGTAATAGAGTCGTTTTGTAGGTAATTTAATTCTCTTTCGAATGAAACATGATTCATCAAAATCGGTCCAGACGTTCCAGAGTTATGGCCGATTTAATGGGGCCATGTCAAGTTGGAAAATTTCAATTTTGGAATTTTCTTCTTGGGTTTTTTCCGTGCTTAGGAGGCCTCAAACGAGAAAATACCAAGAGGCATTTTCTGTTTAATTTGATCCCCTTTACCCAAAAAAAAATGATTTTTCCATTTAAAAGCCGAAAAAGTCGTTGAAAATCGGAATTTTTCCTGGAGTGATTTTTAGTGGAAAATTTTGAATTTTTTTTCCCTATGCTCCACGCAATTGTTTTGAGTGTGCGGCACATCAGTAGGTGGTGTGGATGGTGTGTGAGCAACCTCGCTTTCTGATAAGGTTGCGTAGGCGCAGGCAGATTGTTCTTCTTCAGATGCGCGATATGGATAGAGCATGAAGAAGCATGTCATATTCAGCTTTATAGAAGAAAATATCGATTTTTTTAAAATTTTGTAACTTTGATATTTTTCATTCAATTGATTTGAATTTTTAGTATATTTTACCTCTAAGCCTCAATAATATCATCTCAAAATGTCATGTGTGTGCCTCAAGTAGTTTTTGAGTAAATGGTCAAAATATAGAAGCATGTCATATTCAGCTTTATAGAAGAAAATATCGATTTTTTTAAAATTTTGTAACTTTGATATTTTTCATTCAATTGATTTGAATTTTTAATATGTTTTGCCTCTAAGCCTCAAAAATATCAACTCAAAATGTCATGTTTGTGCCTCAAGCAGTTTTTGAGTAAATCGTCAAAATATAGAGGCATGTCATATTCAGCTTTATAGAAGAAAATATCCATTTTTCAAAATTTTGTAACTTTGACATTTTTCATTCAATGGATTTGAATTTTTAGTATGTTTTGCCTCTAAGCCTCAATAATATCACCTCAAAATGTCATTTGTGTGCCTCAAGTAGTTTTTGAGTAAATGGTCAAAATGTAGAGGCATATCATATTCAGCTTTATAGAAGAAAATATCCATTTTTTAAAATTTTGTAACTTTGACATTTTTCGTTCAATTGATTTGAATTTTTAATATGTTTTGCCTCTAAGCCTCAATAATATGACCTCAAAATGTCATGTGTGTGTCTCAAGTAATTTTTGAGTAAATGGTCAAAATGTAGAGGCATGTCATATTCAGCTTTATAGAAGAAAATATCCATTTTTCAAAATTTTGTAACTTTGACATTTTTCATTCAATGCATTTGAATTTTTTAGTATGTTTTTGCCTCTAAGCCTCAATAATATGACCTCAAAATGTCATGTGTGTGCCTCAAGTAATTTTTGAGTAAATGGTCAAAATGTAGAGGCATGTCATATTCAGCTTTATAGAAGAAAAATATCGATTTTTTTTAAAATTTTGTAACTTTGATATTTTTCATTCAATTGATTTGAATTTTTTAGTATATTTTACCTCTAAGCCTCAATAATATCATCTCAAAATGTCATGTGTGTGCCTCAAGTAGTTTTTGAGTAAATGGTCAAAATATAGAAGCATGTCATATTCAGCTTTATAGAAGAAAATATCGATTTTTTTAAAATTTTGTAACTTTGATATTTTTCATTCAATTGATTTGAATTTTTAATATGTTTTGCCTCTAAGCCTCAAAAATATCAACTCAAAATGTCATGTTTGTGCCTCAAGCAGTTTTTGAGTAAATGGTCAAAATATAGAGGCATGTTATATTAAGTTTTATAGAAGAAAATATTCATTTTTTAAAATTTTGTAACTTTGACATTTCTCATTCAATTGACTTGAATTTTTAGTATGTTTTGCCTCTAAGCCTCAATAATATCACCTCAAAATGTCATCTGTGTGCCTCAAGTAGTTTTTGAGTAAATGGTCAAAATGTAGAGGCATATCATATTCAGCTTTATAGAAGAAAATATCCATTTTTTAAAATTTTGTAACTTTGACATTTTTCGTTCAATTGATTTGAATTTTTAATATGTTTTTGCCTCTAAGCCTCAATAATATGACCTCAAAATGTCATGTGTGTGTCTCAAGTAATTTTTGAGTAAATGGTCAAAATGTAGAGGCATATCATATTCAGCTTTATAGAAGAAAATATCCATTTTTCAAAATTTTGTAACTTTGACATTTTTCATTCAATGGATTTGAATTTTTAGTATGTTTTGCCTCTAAGCCTCAATAATATCACCTCAAAATGTCATTTGTGTGCCTCAAGTAGTTTTTGAGTAAATGGTCAAAATGTAGAGGCATATCATATTCAGCTTTTATAGAAGAAAATATCCATTTTTTAAAATTTTGTAACTTTGACATTTTTCGTTCAATTGATTTGAATTTTTAATATGTTTTGCCTCTAAGCCTCAATAATATGACCTCAAAATGTCATGTGTGTGTCTCAAGTAATTTTTGAGTAAATGGTCAAAATGTAGAGGCATGTCATATTCAGCTTTATAGAAGAAAATATCCATTTTTCAAAATTTTGTAACTTTGACATTTTTCATTCAATGCATTTGAATTTTTAGTATGTTTTGCCTCTAAGCCTCAATAATATGACCTCAAAATGTCATGTGTGTGCCTCTAGTAATTTTTGAGTAAATGGTCAAAAATGTAGAGGCATGTCATATTCAGCTTTATAGAAGAAAATATCCATTTTTTAAAATTTTGTAACTTTGACATTTTTCGTTCAATTGATTTGAATTTTTAATATGTTTTGCCTCTAAGCCTCAATAATATGACCTCAAAATGTCATGTGTGTGTCTCAAGTAATTTTTGAGTAAATGGTCAAAATGTAGAGGCATGTCATTTTCAGCTTCATAGAAGAAAATATCCATTTTTCAAAATTTTGTAACTTTGACATTTTTCGTTCAATTGATTTGAATTTTTAGTATGTTTTGCCTCTAAGCCTCAATAATATCACCTCAAAATGTCATGTGTGTGCCTCAAGTAGTTTTTGAGTAAATGGTCAAAATGTAGAGGCATGTCATATTCAGCTTTATAGAAGAAAATATCCATTTTTCAAAATTTTGTAACTTTGACATTTTTCATTCAATGCATTTGAATTTTTAGTATGTTTTGCCTCTAAGCCTCAATAATATCACCTCAAAATGTCATTTGTGTGCCTCAAGTAGTTTTTGAGTAAATGGTCAAAATGTAGAGGCATATCATATTCAGCTTTATAGAAGAAAATATCCATTTTTTAAAATTTTGTAACTTTGACATTTTTCGTTCAATTGATTTGAATTTTTAATATGTTTTGCCTCTAAGCCTCAATAATATGACCTCAAAATGTCATGTGTGTGTCTCAAGTAATTTTTGAGTAAATGGTCAAAATGTAGAGGCATATCATATTCAGCTTTATAGAAGAAAATATCCATTTTTTAAAATTTTGTAACTTTGACATTTTTCGTTCAATTGATTTGAATTTTTAGTATGTTTTGCCTCTAAGCCTCAATAATATCACCTCAAAATGTCATGTGTGTGCCTCAAGTAGTTTTTGAGTAAATGGTCAAAATGTAGAGGCATGTCATATTCAGCTTTATAGAAGAAAATATCCATTTTTCAAAATTTTGTAACTTTGACATTTTTCATTCAATGCATTTGAATTTTTAGTATGTTTTGCCTCTAAGCCTCAATAATATGACCTCAAAATGTCATGTGTGTGCCTCAAGCAGTTTTTGAGTAAATGGTCAAAATGTAGAGGCATGTCATATTCAGCTTTATAGAAGAAAATATCCATTTTTCAAAATTTTGTAACTTTGACATTTTTCATTCAATGGATTTGAATTTTTAGTATGTTTTGCCTCTAAGCCTCAATAATATGACCTCAAAATGTCATGTGTGTGCCTCAAGTAATTTTTGAGTAAATGGTCAAAATGTAGAGGCATATCATATTCAGCTTTATAGAAGAAAATATCGATTTTTTTTAAAATTTTGTAACTTTGATATTTTTTCATTCAATTGATTTGAATTTTTAGTATGTTTTGCCTCTAAGCCTCAATAATATGACCTCAAAATGTCATGTGTGTGCCTCAAGTAATTTTTGAGTAAATGGTCAAAATGTAGAGGCATGTCATATTCAGCTTTATAGAAGAAAATATCCATTTTTTAAAATTTTGTAACTTTGACATTTCTCATTCAATTGATTTGAATTTTTAGTATGTTTTGCCTCTAAGCCTCAATAATATCACCTCAAAATGTCATGTGTGTGCCTCAAGTAGTTTTTGAGTAAATGGTCAAAATATAGAGGCATCTCATATTCAGCTTTATAGAAGAAAATATCGATTTTTTTAAAATTTTGTAACTTTGACATTTCTCATTCAATTGATTTGAATTTTTCGTATGTTTTGCCTCTAAGCCTCAATAATATCACCTCAAAATGTCATGTGTGTGCCTCAAGCAGTTTTTTGAGTAAATGGTCAAAATATAGAGGCATGTCATATTCAGCT